CGTGCGTTTCGTACATTCTCCAGCCCATGTGCGCGAAGAAGAACCCTCTTCTGGAGTTTGTCAAGTCCCTGTCGGTGTCAGGCCACTTGTGGTGCACGCGGTGGTTCACACTCCATGAGAAAATGCTGTGCTGGAACGCAACGCAGTGCAGGCACATGAGGACGAGCCGGACGGCAAACACGGCTTTGTAGGAGCGGTGGGCCCAGAGTCGGTGAACTCCCATCGTCACTCCCAGTCCAGATATAATGGCTGAGACTACAGTAAATAAAATACTATTCCCCCTAATCTGACCCATTATACATAAATACAAGCCCCCCAGTGCCAGTAAATGCAGAGCCGCATCACAAATGACCATGTTCCATATGACCTTGGACCAGTCAAGGTTCATGGTATCAATATACATTTGTTTTATTGAGAACTTATAGATGTATTCATCGTCTTCATCATGATGATGGTGGTGTTCATGATTATCTTCATGGTCGCTGTCGTGCTCTTCGTTGACGTAAATGGGATCACGGATACCCCTGGTATTTTTACTACTCAGTTGTGTTGACGTTGAGAAATCCTCAGCGTTGTCCATGACTTTTCTTGCTGAAGTTAATATAGCGCTTGAGTTTACGAGATCTTCAATGAGATGAACTGAAGGAAATATGAATGATGAAAAGCAGATCACCTGGAATGAAAGCAAATATTGTTAATGATCTGAATCAAACTTACATTAGTATTTCACACAGAAGTTATGGGGAGCGTCTGGGTAAAAAAAATCATTTACGGACGGATCATTTTGAAACTTGTTACACATGTGTAAAACAGAAATTAATAACTTTTTTGTTCATGTAAATTTTTCGAAAAATTAGATAAAACGTGAAATTCATAGAAAACGGCAAACATTTTGGTAGCGTTAAAATCTATCTCATTCAATTAACGTGCTACATCATCGAGACACATATCATTCGATTCATAAAGACAATATCTAGCTATAGATCGATAATTTTTTCAATTTTTTAATATGTTTTTTCAGATTTTTTCTTCATTTTTCCCGCTCCCCTCTTCCGTTTTTTCAATATTTATAATCCAAACTAAATAGAAAACCAAAAAAATATAATCTGTGAATCGCTAGATATTTTTTTACGAATCGTATGGCATATCTCTCAATGTTGTAGCTTGAAAATCACCTATAGATTTTTAAGATGGAGTAATTTGGAAATTTTAATTGTTCAGGGGAGCCAAATAAGTAAAATTTGTTGAAAAAATGGAAGAATAAGTGGAAACAATTCTTGATATAGTAGTCCAAGCTATCCAATTGCCAATTAGTTACATTTAGGGTACCAGTACGCGTCTTTAGATTTATTCTTGTCCAGTTTAACATAAATAATAAGCTATAAATGTGTCTTTTATCAGAATTTTATATACATAAATATAAAATGTTCATATATATATATAAGTTCAAAACGGCCTGAAGCAAAAAAGCATTGCATGTACATCCGTGGTATGTGCTTTTTTAAGCGTGCATCTCTGTTATTTCTTTCGAGCGAGTTCAAACATTTTGTAGTTAACGCGAATAATGATATATAAATACAATTTTTTAAATGAAAATTTGTAATTATTGTTATAAACTGGTTCAAAAAAGTCTTACGCAAAAATTATTGCATGTACATATATGGTATTAGCTTTGTTGAACGCGTCCTGTTTGTAGCTTTTAAACGAGTGAAAATACTTTGCAATTAACGAATTGACGAGAATAATGATCCATAAATACTGATTTAATTTAAAGAAATCTTTGTACATATTGTTAAAAAATGTTCTCGTTAAATATTTTTGAAATGGCCTTACGCAAAAACTAGAACACGCACATAAATGCGGTTCGCTGCGTTAGACGCGCCTTTTCAGCGGCTGAAAAATGAGCCAAGACAACGGAAAAGCGAAATTAACAGATTTTTTTACCCAGACGATCCCCTTAAAAAGAACCTCCCTTTAGACTACCTTTAAAAGCTTCATAATATTTCTTGGTGCTTTCAACATGGTCACTAATTCAACATATATTCTTGAATCGACCTAAAACATACGCTTCTCATGTTCGTATTCTACATATATTCTTAAATTAACAGATATCTATAAATTAAGCTCTAAGTATGCTCAATTTTCATTAACAGTTTATATATATCAGAACACCAATTACTGAGTGTGCTCAAGTTCTCTTCACAATCTACAAATAATTATAAATCAACTTTAAAAAGTTCTCAACTCATTTTTAAAATCATTATTTATCAAAAATAAAGAATGTGCTGCGTGTGCTAGAACACCACACGCTGGACAGCACGCAAGTTAAGCTTATATTATTTCCTTCACCGAAGCCTCCAGACGTCCGCACTACACACTCACCAGGAGATCCGCACTGCAGGCCCGTGAGGACACAAGTGAAGATCTGCTCGTCTGACCCCGGTATTTATACCCGGCCTTGACAATGGGATGATCAGTCACGGACCGCAGGACACGCGGTGCGTTACTGGAGCGCCTGTTGGTGCGGTCAGTGGTTACTCGACCAATGGCGATGAGGGCGACCTTATTTTTTTTGCACAGATACAACATAAAAATCATCAGATACATCATTAAATTACAGATCGTCATCAGATACAATATAAAAATACAGATACAATACAATATACCGAATTTGTCAGAATTTGAGTTGGTTTCCGCAATAATTTTTGGGCTCCAATTTTCGACCATTATCTTTTTTACATGATTTTGTACTTATGTCCATCCAAATTACATCACTCAATGCGTCTTGTACCTTAATGCTGAATGTTTATACATATGAAACGTCATTAAAATATCATTCGGAAACCTGAATTTCAATTTTCAATCATCCCAGGCTTACGAAAAATTAAGTTCGATTCATTGAAAACGCCGAAAAGAGCCGTAAAAGATTAAAAGTGAGAAAATTCAATTTGAAGACTGGACAAAAATAGATGGTTTATAACCTCTCAAGATGAGATATCTTTAATAAGTCCACTTATGGTTACAGGATGGTCTAGTGGTTAAAGTTCCGAGTAACAAGATTGGAGCAGAGAGGTGCGGGTTTGATCCCAGCTCTGTGCGCCAGTTTCTGGTCAGAATCGGCAAGGAGGCCGGGCGGTTAAGCAAAGAAAATTTGAAGCAGTGAGTTGCGAGTTCAAGAGTTTACTCATAATTACAGTTCGTGTTTAAATCAAATCATTATTACTAGTATGTGCTGTGACTCTGATCATAATTAATAGTTTTCGCTGTGAGTTTACTCATTATTAATAGTTTATGTTGTGAGTGAAGACTTACTATAGTTTGTGTTGTCAGACATGACGGTACAGACGCACCGTAAGCTTAATTTAACACACAGAATCACAAAAAACAGAGCTTTTAAGTTATTATTCATGATGTTTGAAATTTAAAAGTACCTGATCAATGAAATAAAAAATCATAATACTTTAGAACATGAGCCTATATACAGCATTGGTCGATAGATGACTCCTGATATTGACGTGAAGAATAAAGCAGGTTAACAGACCATCACATAGACTACCGACCGCATAGCTCACCTTTGATAGATTAAATATGTATCTGTTGCATTCTAGGGTTAACTTCTCGACATTTTTAATTTGTGTTGAAGTCGTGAAGACAATTGATGATGACTTACAGCGTATGTATTGTAACAATGTGTACGAAATTTATGTGATACGACATCGTCGTAAAGACATTTCAGGCGCCTAACAAAAATAATATTTGAGCATTTTCATTTGTCGTTCAAACTTGTATCATTTGCCAGTTTCAAGACACAGAAACTGCGAAGAATATTTTTAACATTTTCTGTGGGAAATTTGCAAACGTTATATTTTGAGAGCAAATAGAGTTCGAGAAAGTGCAAATAGGCTATATAGAGCATTCATTTCGGCCCGATCACACGATCTCTACAAGTTAGACGTTTATTTAATGAAAATGAACGCTATATAACAATATAACAACAAAACCCGACGTTGATAGCTAACGCATGAATTACAGTGGTTGTTGAGATTTACGTCGGATATAATCACCTCACAGGCATCTCTGTACCAGGATACTGTAGGTGGCAATTTGCATGTAATCCTACAAGAACAAGACCAATTGTGTCCGTATATTTGCTGTAAAACCGTTCTCGCCTATATATTTTTCTGGATATAAAATAACGCCTATTTTAATTATTGCAATTTATAGGAATAACGTAGGTTTGTAGGCATTCTCTGAACATGAGCTTCACACACGTACAATTTCGACATTTCCTCCCTATCTCATATATAGACCAACAACAAAGACGGATATTTATTCACAGACTGCCACGCCATAATTTTCTTTGTCCTGCCCCCGATCACTCGGTGTGAGGCCGCCCTATACCTCAGGTTGTCCCCAGCCTCTTACAGCGCAGCGCTCATGCAACGTCATCGAAAAAACGATGGCAAGCGAAAGCATCCTGTTTCTTGAGTGCATTGTCATATATGAAATAATTTTTCAGAAATAATTATTTTCGGACTAACCTCTGATCTTTATAAGAACCTAATTAATTTAAAAGATGAATCATGAAAGTTACAAGGCAGTATGTAATGTGTTTATATCGAAGATTTTTCCGGAAGCAATGACGTATAAGTTCATGTTACGTCCGTTAATTAAACTTGCGTTGGCAGATTACCGAAACTTTGATGGACTTATTTTAAAAATTTTATGCATTCCTTGTGTCAAGGCAATATATTTCATTGAATACTAATTTTTGATAATGGCTCTGGGATCGCAAAACGACCAGTACGCAAAAAATCCAGACCAATTACAGTGCACGCGTCAAAATTTAGTCGAAATCATTGGGTTCAGAATCACAATGGATGTAAACTTGTGTATGTTTATTTGCCCAATGTTGTGAATTAAATAATTTGTCAGGCTTGAGCTGTTCAATTCAGGTGGGCAGCTACCACGTACATACATGCCCGGCAGGTTCAGTTGGTGGCATGCAACGAATCTTCAGAACTCTTTTCCTAGCGAAGAAAAAGACTATTTAATTTAGTCTGTTAAAACGATGTTGATTAATGATTTTCGTTGAATTTACAATCAAATGATGGAACCTTTTGGTCTGAATAATTCCCTTATGGAAATAATCAGAATAATCAGAATAAACTAGCGAATAATTTGAGCCTGGCATGAACTGAGTAATTAAATCATTACTCCTTGATTTAATTCAATTTTTACTTGTACAGGGTACAGTGTACGATTCCGTGGAGTGAAAAACAATATTTTCTAAAGATTCGCTTTCCTGTTATGATTTTTTCGCATGGACGCCTGCCAAATGGATATCCTTGGAAGGATTTCCCAAACCACAAAATATAGAGTTACTGTAAATCCATTGAAAATTGTAAAAACTGGAATTTCAGCGTATTTTTAACTTGCATGTTCAATTTTTGAAAGTTGGCCGTGATAATTTAGAAGATATTGCTGTATAAATAACTACTAATCAGTTTATATAGTTAACGAAATATGGCACAAGTGTATAGAAGTTTATGGTTGTATACGCATATTCAGTGGTGGGCACAGTTGCGCTAATCCGCTAACCGCTAATTAGCGAAGCTAACTTTTTTTCTTATAGGATTAGCTTTTTAGCTAACTTTGAAAACCATTAGCGGACCAATTAGCTTCCGCTAAATATAGTTCCGCTAATTGACAGTTCGCGAAAAATGTTTAAAAGTCTCTCATATTCTGAAAACCGGACAACCGTAGCAGCTACAATCATGAAGTTGATGGAGGCCAAATCCGAAGGCCTCCTGTACTACAGTCCTCTGGTATACGCAATGCTGGCAGGCGTTACGAAAAGATTTGGACCCCTCCAAGAAGACAAGAAGTGCCAGCTGGCAGCTGCCTTCAACCCTAAGTTTCACCTGTTGTGGCTGGAGAAGCATAACCACAGCCATTTCAGCAGGGTACAGAAGGCCATGGAGGCCGCCGTGGAGACAGCCCTGAGGGAGACCGTTGAGAAGGGCAGCAGCACCACCAGCAATGACGAGGATGGGGAAGATGACTCCTTCAGCATCACTCAGCCCCAGGAATGTAGGAGGAGCCACTGGTCACTGAAGTCCAAGTCATAGAACTTGGTGAAGACATGGCTGGAGGCCAGCTCGAAGGAGGAATTGACTGACGTTGCCTTCTTGGGTGAGCAGGTGTTGATGAACCTGTTCGTTAAGTACAACACAGCCATCCCATCCAGTGCTGCAGTTGAGCGCCTGTTTTCCCTAGGCAAGGACATCTTGAGGGCCAATGGAATGATAATAATAATGTAAATAATAGTTTATTATTTACATTATTGAGAGGATGATGTTCATCATGGGCAACAATCACCACCTCGATGAGATGAAGGGCAAGCCAAAGTAAATGCCTTGTGTAACCCTACTTCTACCTGTGTGTTTTTATTTCTTTATGTTTATTAGTTGTTTAATAAACTGTATGTTGAATATCAACTACTACTTATTTTCATTTGATTATTTATGTATATCTTGATCATCATCATATCTTGGCATGCTACATCTTTTTGGAAAGCTTCTTGTCAATGCTAAAACATATTAAAAGTTCAGCTCTCTAGGTCTGTATTGCCAGCTAAAACCTGGCATTTTAAAGCAAAAATACACTGAGCATTCACACTTTGTATCTAAAAATATCCTTTTAACTACATTTTACTTACATTTTTTCCCAGTAAAGCTCATTTTTTCCCGCTGAATACGTAGAAAATTTTCAAGATTTAGCTGGAAAATAGCTGAATTGCCAACACATGTCTGCATCACTCAGATGAAAAGAATTCATGCTAGCAATTTACAACAATCCCTATAATTACGACATTTTTTGGCGACGCCGAAGTAAGGGCAAAATTAGGAAAATATTCATAATTGGGAATCACATTTATGTCAAGTCTCCGCTGCCTTCTTTTGTATCCATGAAATCTGGGTTTCCCTGTTGGAAACTAACTTATTGCATTGACAAACTTATGCTATACGCAGAGTATCTGATTTTCCCTCCTGTCACTTTTTGGTGGCTTTACGACGTAATAACTTTAATTATTAAACTCACCAAATACTCTAAAAATTTAGCATTTTTTAATTCTATTTGACAACTTATGTATAGTAAGTGACTGGTCTATTGCGTACTCTCAATTACTCTATTAATATTAGTTACTCTCATGCTACTATATTTTTAAGACTTTTCAGTTGTACGTAATATTATGCAAAATGTATTTGATTTTAGCTTGACAGAAATATTGTGTTGTTATTCGTTTAAAATCATTACAGGGAGAAGCTGGTCCCCCCGAGGGATGATCTCACAGACGCATGAGCTCACCAGCTGTGTCAGAAGGTGCACGTTTATAAGCTCTACCACGAACCTAAAGGTGCTTGTATACGGGGACAGTACTGGCGGCAAGTAGATCAGAAAAATGCTAAATGTCTGCCTTCTGTTGTCTATCCCGCAAGTGAGCTTATACACGAGACAAGTTTAAGGCGCCGCCGTGCCGGTAACGACTAGATACCGGCACGGCGGCTTCTTAAACTTGCCTCGTGTCTAAGCTTACTTGCGGG